CCAACTTTGTCTCCTGTAAGCAAACAATGTCAGCCTTCCAACCCCTTAAGAGATTTTGAACACCCAACCTTCTTCCAGCTTCATTAAGCCCCCTCACATTCCAGCTAACTATTTTTGAGATCATCTTGAAGCACCGTCATCCCTTCCCATCAATCCTCTTCTTGACTCACCACCTCTCACGTCATAATTAACCGAGCATTCAAGCCGTTTAAGCTCACGATCTCCCTTTCTTCTTATCTTACCTCCTGGTGTATCCATCCCTTGTCCCTTACTCGCTTCCAACTCCTCAAATAATTGCAGGAGCTTATGTTCATACCCGTCGCAAGACACCCCCACCATCTTGCTGAATTCCAAAATTTTTTGAAGAGCCCAACTCGATGGTGGCGGTCTAATGTCAAGCTCACTCATTACCACTATCTCCTCAGAGGAAATCTGATCATATTGTAAGTCCTCTTCCTCCACCCGAACTACACCCCTATTTATATCCTCCTTTTTGGCGCCCTCCACCCACACAACTAGAGCTTTATCAGTCCCTGAGTCCCTCTCATTTATAGACTTAGAATATCTCCTACAGTAGGTATTCATAACCATCGTTGCCAAACCTGTTGTCCTTTGTTGTTTCTCAAAAGCCGAAGCTGGACTTTTTGTTGTTGCATTGTTTGTCTCTTGCTCCATAGTCGACATTAATGCTTCTGCTGGCCTCGTGTCCAACATCTCCACTATTGTGGAACAATTGCCTTTGGTCACATCCGGTCTCTTCGACTCCAAATTCATCAAACTCAGCTCCCCTTCCTTGTCCCATAGTACCACCTCCACCCCTCTACTTTGTACTTGGGATTCGCCACTTGGCTCAGCCATCACCTCTTTAATGTAGGCCCTCTTCGATTAGTTGTATAATCATCTAAGCCCACTACACACGTATGACAATATGTCTACCTATAACCAGTGCATTCCCGCTATCCAATAACCTCAGTAGTTCATCCAATTTCCGTTTCAGTGCCTTTATGTGGGCCCTTATGTCAGCATAGTTTGTAGAAATATCAGACGTTCCTTCTGTAGTCTTTTCGCTGTCCTTATGCGCCGTTGATTGGCCTTCCTTGTTTGGTCCCCAGTTTCGCCCGCGTGGATCACTCTTCTCATTTACCGCTTTATCCTCCTGCATCCGTACCCATTGATTAGCATTCTGAGAGGCCTAAATGTTTGTCATAACTGCGGCATAAGTCATCCTTGCCGGCTTTGATCTTCCACTACTCAATGCTTGGCCTTATCTTCAGCAACAAATGATTCTATAACTGCTTGAAACACGTGCGAGATCGTTGCCCATCCCTCTCCATTACGCCCTTCAGGCACCATCACTACACCCTTTCGACATCACTCCCCATACTACGCTATCATGAGATACCGACCACGACTGTTAGTATATCGTTGTGCCAAAAACACTCGAGGGGTCTCATTAAATTTCGAGACAAAATCCTCCGACATTCTAGCCATCCTAAACTTATCCACCATCACCATCCAAACAGCTCCAAATCTTCCCATGTGAATAGCATTGGAGATCGTAGATCCCCATTCTGACATCCTAACCAAGCCTGAACCAGTGACAGACACCACAAAATGTTTTGCCTCAATTCTGAAACTGGAGCTAAACACCAACATGCCATTAGGAACACTATCTCCCTAGATTCCGTGCAACTGAAGCATCATACGAAGAAACAGGATAGTTAAGAGTCCTAGGCGAAGTCTACATGTTCTGGACCTTCCCAGGCGACGGCGCGTGCCCAGATCGGTGCGTGCACCACACCGCCTCTTCCCCATGATCGGAATGACCTGAACAGTTCTCCTGTCAGGCGCGTGGGCCAGAAAGGTGGCCGGATCTTGAGGCATCTGGGCTCAAATCCCAGATCAGTTTCTGCTTGTGAAGACTCTCCACCCGCCAAAGTCGCCATTGGCTGCTTCAAATGTGGCAGGATCTTCAGTCAAAGCAGTAGATCGGACGATGGTGCTAGGGTTTACACCCAGGGCCGTCGCCTGAGGTTGTGGCTCGGTGTGTGGCGTGAGGCCGATTTTTTTTGGGTTCACCGGGCGACGCTATGTTGTCTTCGCCAGCAACAGCAGGGTGATCGACCAGTTGGGTGATGGATTTGGATATTAGGGAAGGGTGTTCCATAACACAGTTATTCAGGGAACTGGATATTAGGGAAGGGATACCCAGTTATTCAGACATAACATAGGTAACTTTGGCCACCATTCTATTTTAACTATTAAGGACTTCGTAGCTTACAAAAGTTATTTTAACCCCTCTGATAATCATTTTCTACCTCCGCATGGGAATTCCTATACTGAATTTTTTGACATGTCTACTTCAATACCATCTCTCACAGCACACAAAGATAAAATTGATGTTATTTTAAATGAACGTGTTGTATTGACCAATGATGGCAAGATTCAGTACTTCCTTGTTTGTTGGGTAGATCGACGTGCTTCTCATGCTCCTCATTATGTACAATCATGTGAAAATTTTGACGATGAGGTGCATGAGTATTGGTTATTTGGAATCCGGTATCAGTACTTGGTTAGAAGGAAAGGACGCCCCCTTCGCCAGATCATATTCTTGGGAATATGCTACAGTTTTTAGTACTATCATTCATGAAATTTCGGTACTTGGTTCGTCGAAAAGATCGTCCCCGTGGCTTGACTTGAAGCATTTGGAGTTTCAAATTGATTACAGCCTACAATGATCTATCAACTCGACAGAGTCGAGTTTTTCTCCTACCCCGAGAGAGTTGATGAGAACATCATTTATTTTATTTATTTCTAGTTGGACTTTATTTTATTTTGGATTTTTATTTATGTAATTGGGCTTGTATAGGCCCAAGCCCATTCTAGTTAGGGTTTTATTTTTACTATGTAAACCTAATTTGTCTTGTAATTTTCTTTAATTTTTTTGATGAATTGAAGAATATTTTGGTGGTTTGTTGTCTGTGGCTTCTCCTTCCCCTTCCCCATGAATTTCAGCTGCTTCTTCGATTTCTCCCCCCATTCTATCCGGTTCTCCCCTCTTTCTTGCTTCTTCGTTTTATTCTTTAATTCGTCCTGCATCACTTATGCCCAAGGTACAACTCACATGAGGCTTTCGTTAAACGCCTCAAAGCTGATGCACCGTGCCATTTGTCAAGGCTGAGTCTCAAGACTAAGATTTAGGGCAACTATGCAATTGTATGTCATGTCCTTCAGAATTCTAATTGTTTGCCACAGCTTTTTGGGCTATTTTTTATAGTCTACAACATTTTACAGGTTTTTTGTTTTCATTTTTAAAGATTTTTTTATGATTTTTTTGGTGTGTCCTCAGGCTTACGACTCAGCATCACATGGGCAAAATGCCTTGGTATCCTATTGAGACTTTTGAATATTGCCACTATCCCAAATCTACCAAATATACAACCTGAGACAGTAATCAGACCAGGAACTAGGGACATCTAATCTAGACTCCTGAGATTAAGGTGAACAGAAAACCTGAGAAAAAATGAAGAAAAATATGAAACATCAATTTCACTTGTACTTCGTAAGTCGTAGCAGAAACCAGTTATGAAGTGGGGACTGGGACTATAGACACAGATCCATGTAAAGAAGGCTCTGAGTCAGCGCGCGCGCGTGTTCATGCTTGTGAATAGTCAAACATAGAAACAATGTTCCAGAAGATGAACTTGGGCAATAGCAGATTGTAGTTTAAACAAGCATCTCAACATGCCACTTGCATGAACAACTCAATTGACTTTTCTATGATAAACAACTTCTCAACATGCCACCTACAGGAACAACTTAAATGACAACCCTTCCGTGGTTCTTCCTCAGTTTTCAGTATTCTCACCACTTGGGAAATTAAAAAATGATGCTCACAATCACTCAAAAGAGCAAGGCTACCATCTTATTCACAGAAAGCACAATTAAGCATGTCAAATATGTTGAGCATCTTCATATTCAGTAATAAATAATTATAACGAGCTTCTAAACTTGTGAAGGTAAATCAATGACACTTCTTTCAGAACCTCAGTGACAGAAGCAAATTGCAGCGTTATATTATTCTGTATTTGAAAATTACAATATGCCATTCCAAATGTCTTAGGGTTAGAATCCATGGAGATCTCATAACTCTCTTTCTCAAATGTATGTGTGGTGTCAACGTCATGGACATGTATATTTACCGCATATCTTGACCATTTGATCCCTAACAACTTGAGTTTTATGTACCGTTTATAGCTACGAATTCAATTCAAACATGCATCGCTGATGATAAAAATTCGCATCACATTCTCCCACGACTCCCGAAGTAAAATTGAGTTCATTTTACCTAACATCCAGAACATGTATCCCTACATCATAATTTTCATTAGGAGACATCTGTCATCTTTCTTTTTCAATTTCATGCATCCAACTTATACTAATTTTCAACATCAGAAATCAAGAAAATCTCACATTTTCTAAATACAGTTGCTATCCGCAGATTCTCGTATACTCCAGGCAGTCTTAAAAAGTGACGGGTAATAGGAAGAACTATGGGGTAGCATTTTTGTATATTGAGTATTGAACTTTGAAAATAGAGCTTAATGATGGAAGGGCATAGCGTGAATAATCTGACCAGATCGACTGTGATAAGCTAGTAATATTTACAGTTAACAAAAAAAAAAAAAAAATTGAATTCAAGAAAAGAGGCAACGCTTCATGACATTAGCTGCATACATCAAGATTCACGAGTCCTCTTCAGTTATATTAAACACATATATCAAGAGTCCCAATAGCTTTCATAACGAAAATCGAAAGCATACTCAATAGTGTATGCATCAAGTTGAAAGACTCAACGCCTCGCTAGGGAATTGGGAAAACAAGATCAAGTTATCAGAGATACGAAATTACAAAAACACTACTGACTATTACTGCCACAAAAACCAGAACTTATTACAAAGGAAAGGATATCTTGCTCACAGTGCAACAACAAGACTTACCACCACGGAGACCACCATAGACAAAGATCAAGTCGCCAACAGCAGCAGCAGCATGCCTACAGCGCCTTGTCAATTCTACCGATGCATCCCCACCAGCAGCATCAGCACTGAATCTGCCAGTCCTTGGACTAGTGACAACAGACTGTGTGTCACACCAAACTCCTGCTGCAGTGTCCAGAACTACACAGAAAAACAATCACATAAATTTTTAGAAAGAGCTTGATGTAATGCCCATTCTTTTAAAACAGTGTCAAGTTTTCGGTGGATTTGAAAAAAGATAAAGAAAATATTAACAGAAAACTAAATATATGAAAGTACCAGCAACACTCGATGAGTCTTCTACCATGCGTCCACCACCAAGTGCCCCTCCAGATACATGAAGACGAGCATTAACAAAAACCTAGAAACACCAGAATATAAATTACAAGTTCTGCCAAGAAAAATATGGAATCCAAAGAGAGCTACTCAATAAAAGAACTTACTGCAGCATGTTGATATCTGGGAGACGGTGAGACACCAGGAGCAATGGCCCATTCCCAACGACCATCCCTATGTTTGGCAAGCCCATAAGCACTTGCCAGCGGCTGCAGAAGATCATATGAATGGAAGTGTTCAAACAAGGCAGTCAATACAAAATTCCAAGACATAACCCATTATAAATAATTACAGAATTTTATTGACAGGGAAAATTTATTGAATTTCCACTATCTAACAAACCACATACTATAAAGAAAGGCAAGTGAACCTAAGTATATCAAAATCGCCCATGAAGTGTAATCAGAAATAACACTAACCACGCTAATCGCATCCCTCCCTCCACATAGTAGAAGAAGACCATCAGAGCGGGCGCTTGCTGTCGCATACCTGGGCAAGGTGACAAGCAAATAAAAGATAAAAAAACAATCATTCTAGTTACGTGCATGTACGGCTGTACACACCCATCCACAGTCCATATTTCATGAAATGTCAAGTAAAAGGATATTTCCATTTTCATTATTTACAATTTTACAAACTAATTAGCAGAAGAGACTTGCATTTTGCAGTTCAACCATTTCAATATGGCACTCTCCTAGTTCACACAATGGACACAACAATAAGAGTATAGGAAACAAAGATAACCTCACAGAGAAGCCAATTTAGTGACTAGATGGGTCAAGCTCAGTTTTTAATACAGGCCACTATGAGTGAGTAAGTCCAGAAAAGGGTGGAGACCCAACATTGCTTCCTAGAATAATTTTCCCCGCTAAAGTGGTTCTTTTTTAACTCAATGCATCCTCATGGTCCAAAGATCACATGCTTTTTGAAAGATCAAATACACTTCACCATTAACAAAAAAACAGAAGCATAGTTTTCCCACTTGATCCGCATAACTCCTATAAAAATGGTAAATGATATCATATAAAATATCAATTCAACTGCACCTTAACAGACACTATTTTTCGCTTGATTTAAGGAACTCCGTAAATACAGGAAGTGGAGTTATTAAAGAAAAAAGTTTGTTCTGCAATACATCAGCAGCTAGATTGTGATGCTCATCAAAACAGTTAATTCATTACAAGTCTGTAGCCTACTATAAAGCAAAAGGTTACAAATAATTTTTTAACAATGTGAGTTTCATCATAAGACTAATAGATACTAAAATCTAACTAGCTAAAAGATTCAGGTTAAGGTCTTCACATACCACACAACTAACTTAAAAACTCAATCAATTAAGAAAATGAAAAGAGGTAACTAGGTCCCCATGCTAATTGGCAAAATAAAACCTCAATGTATGAGACATTCATTTTAGCAACGGCATTCCATGGATGTAAACCATTCTGAAATATTCCAGGATCAACAACATTCTATACAATCAAAAAGGTAAGCATTTCTCAAAAGAAAAGATAAATAGTGAAAATGCAAAAATTTTATCCACTGGGCATCTGTTTCCTAAATGGCATCTTCATGCAGAAGTTAGCCATAATCAAACAATATACAGAGTTTCTGTCTAAGTAACTTCAAGGAATGTTAAAATAAAAGTATGCGCAGATAAGATAAAGAAGAGGAAGGAAACTCTCGTGTCGAAAGGGAAAGACCTATATAGACAGAACAGGCAGAAGGAAATAAAGTGTGCCTGAAAAGGGAGGGGGGGGGGACAGTAACTCACATGCATGGAGGCGGACCTTCACCCTCTGGTTCCAATTTTCGCCATTCATATGGCTTGGCAGCAGTGTCCAATGCCCAAACATCAGCTAAAGCCCGTTTACCTAAAAAGCACGTAACAAGTTAACGTTCTCTGATGCTACAACATTAATGCAAGAGAACAAACTCTGCACGGTACCAACCATCATTTCCACCAATAGCCATGAGATATCTTTGCCCAACCAAAGCCATGACATGTCCATAGCGTGGCCCTGGTCCCGGGCCTTGGACCACAACCCTAAAAGAGTATTAAGAACAGTTCCAGTTTATCTCATAAAAATATGTGTGTAAATATGTATAGTGTGCATTTTCTCGTGTTCATACACAAGCATTTATCTGGGCTATTTATGCCACGGAGAGGCTAACCTGTGCCACCGTGGCCGTTGTTGTGTGAGGTCCAGAACATGAAGATCCTCAGCAGACAAACCAGCTGGACCAATTCCACCCTATGATGGACCACAACAATAAGTACCTGATCATAACACAATATATATCAAGTGAACTCTTCAACATCTCCATATGTCAACGTACCTGTATGACAACCATGGTGCCAACCGCAGTAGCCACGTGCGCTGCCCTTGGTGAAGGTGGTTCTCCAATAGGAGTAACTCTGAGGAGTTATTAAAAGCACGTTACCACATTATGACAATACCAATTTAAGATAAGGAAAAACTAGAGAACAACAAAGTTGAGTAAAGATTGTACTGAACAAGTTATCATCAATTTAAGCTTACCGAGACCATTTATTTGTCAACACATCATAAGAATGCACATCAGCAGTAGCCCCCGCTAGTCCTGAAAAATAGAACCTAGAACATCGTTTATTGTTTATTACATATAACATGTTTAAGTCTCATTCTAATTTTGAAACGAGAAAAAAGTCTAGCATCATCATTCGCTCTATCATATGTTACATAAGCATTGCATAAAATGTGCCTCATGTTTAAGGAGTGTGCTCTGCAAGACCATGATACAGTTACAACTTAGTCAATAAATCGGTTCTTGCTGAATTTTTATAATGATTAAACTTTCTGTTCATCCTTCCTTTTCTTGACAAATTTCAATAAAGAAATCTTCATCTTTTTACTTGAAATCAACTCAAAATTAGATAAAATAACATCTCAGCAGCGCTAAAAATATAGAGTCCCCTCAAAATCCAGAAATGCAACATGCGAGTATGAAAAGAAAAATCCAATTTCCATGCGTCCATCTTCATAACTTTGACAGGGAAACAGTTAACACTCTCTTAAACAACTTCAAACAAGTATAGCTAGGATCTCCAACTTTCAAAGCTACTACACTCCCAGTTCTGTCCGTGTTTTGTGTGTGTAAATGAATTGAACAGAAACCAAGCATTCCAATTCAACAGCAACCGAACTAAAATAATAGTCTACTAAACCATTCAAAAACAAAGAATAGGGAACCTAAAAGCCAAGAGTTGAGGCGAAAGCATCCAAATTTGAACTCCAAAATATTTACAGTTGATTAGCAGAAACGTCATTCTGATCAACTTGATAAAACAAAAAAAACAAGAGCAAAACGTCATCTTTCTACATTTATGACTACAATTAAACATAGAATATATCAATAATCCTGCAAAAATTAAAATCTCAAAGATTAAAGAAAACGTACGAATTCCAGCACTTCCAGCGGAGGTAGGAGCTCCGGAGGCAGCAGAATTCCCTTCAAGAGCAGTAGCCCCACCAAAAAGAATCAATCTCGGGCCCATATAGCCAGGAGTCCCCTCCTCCCCTACGGCTTGCACAGCCGTCAACGTGTGGCCACACCTGGGACCCGGCCCATCCTCCTCCTTATCCATAGTTGCATTCACCAAACTGTAAGTAGGAGCGCATCGCGGTCCCGCAAGCACTGCAGCACCCACACCACTATCGATATTACTAATGCTACTACTGTTATTACTACTATGTTGCTGCTGCTGCAAAGGTGGCTGCTGATTAGTCGATGGGGATTCCGGAACAGTTGTAGGCTGTTCCGAATCTTCCCCGGCTGTTTTTTGGGCCGATGAATCGTTATCAAGCTCGGGCTCTGTAGTCATAGTTGAATCCACGTCCATCTCTACTTAAAAACCCTGAATTTCGAAACTTCACTACAAGATCGGAGCTCAAATACTCACCAATTAACATTTTCAATCTTCATTTTGCAAAACTCGTAGCTCCGATCCCTTCAAATTACACAATAATCCGCCTCCAGCTTTTCCCCAAAAAGAGGAAATTTTTCTCTTCTAATCCTCTCTCTACCAAGCTCTGACGAGTAATCCAAACGGGACGGCCAATCCAACCAATTGTTTCTCTGATTAACCCAATATTGTTCTCTTTATCTCTCTATAACATATATATATATGGTGTGTGACCTGTCTATATGTATTTGTGTATGTATCTCTCCCCCCTGAAAGAAAGATGGAGAAAATGATTTTGATATTAAAGGCTTATTATTGTACGGCTGAGATTACTCCAGTCACGTACTGTGAATTTTGGTCAGGCAGTGGCAAACTAGTAAATTCGATCAAGTTACAACTTTTAAACAATGATTGAATGTTTAAATTCTCAACATTTTTGTAAGAGAGGGTTTACGTCCAATAAAAAAAATACTTATATTCTTGGGAGGGTTCACGTCCAATAAAAAACCACGGACCTCTGTCTTAAAGAGGAGTGTACATCTAGTAAAACCCGTAAATTCTTAAATGCACCATGTTGCACGCATGCTCATATTATTGCCTACAAATTTTGGGGTTCTTTGATATTGTTAAAATTTATTAAAAGTAGTTGATTCCTTGAAATATAAAATATGATGTTAAAATTAATTGTTAACTTTGATTTCAACTTCTAATAACTTTTAAGCTTCAAGTACTAAATAGTCATCCGATAAAAAAAAAAAATTAAGTGCAAATAATATCAATAACTAATAGTGAAATTTAATATTTTATTTGAGTACACTAGTTAATAATTTTTGTTTATACAAATCAAGTGAGAAAGTTGTCTAATATAGACTCGATTTATTGTTGTCTCAATTAATGTACAACGCCTTAAGAAATAAAAATATGCATGGCCAATATTTAGCTCCAATACTCGGATATGAGAATCCACTTCTTATGCCTCATTGTGAATGGTCCCTTACGACTGTGGTCATAGACTTACCCGTTTAAAGCATGCCATTGCATTACAATTATCAATTTATTTATCATTGATTAACAACTTACTCAATGTATAACTTTTAATTGATAAACGTCGTTTTTTCAATAGTCAATTCGTGAGCAAAATTCAAATGTTCAAGAGATAATTATTATGATCTAAATTTCTCGTCCCAAGTATCTAATAAGCATGTACTTTATTTTCCAATGAAATTACCATTAGACATTCCAAAATTTTTATATCAAGTATGTAGAAAAGAGACAAATTTTGTTGAATCGGGACTTAGAGACAATATATTCAAATGTACGGTTTACATGCAATTGTTCAAAAGATAATCAATAACAACTTCTAGTCATATTAAGAAAAGTGGAAATTACAAGGAGGGCAAGGTTTGGAGACAAAATTTGAAAGTTAACATTTAGAGTTTTTTCCTTCAAAAATCAGATGATAATTCATCTGTTAAATATTAACTAATTAAATAAAAATACACACCCCCCCCCCACACACCTCATCCCCATTTTTCCCCAATCCCTATTTTCATTTCACACATCTCCACTCTACCTCTCCTCTCTTTCTTCCCATCCCACGGTTTACATGCAATTGTTCAAAAGATAATCAATAACAACTTCTAGTCATATTAAGAAAAGTGGAAATTACAAGGAGGGCAAGGTTTGGAGACAAAATTTGAAAGTTAACATTTAGAGTTTTTTCCTTCAAAAATCATATGATAATTCATCTGTTAAATATTAACTAATTAAATAAAAATACACACCCAACCCCACCCCCACCCCCACACACACCTCATCCCCATTTTTCCCCAATCCCTATTTTCATTTCACACATCTCCACTCTACCTCTCCTCTCTTTCTTCCCATCCTCTCTCTACCGAAATCTTTCCACCCTTTCCCCACACTCTTTCTTTCTCCCCGCCATCTTTCTACCAACGGCTCCGCCATGTGGTTGACCTTTTTTTACCAGATTTGCTGTATGTGGTGAGTTTCTCTTTTTCTGACCAAAAATGTTTTGTGGATGGTGATGTGGTGGTTTTGGAGCTTGAGGTTGTGGTAGATTTAGAGTTTTGGTTTGGTGGGGGGGGGGGGTGAAGTGGTGGTCGCGGTGCTACTAGTAACATGATGTTAATCTGCATAGGTCACGTGCACAGTCATATCGTACAATTGCAAATTTGTGAAATAGGGGTTACAAATTAATTTTAATTGGTCTAATATGGTGTCAAATCAAATATCACATATCTTTGTGCAATAATAACATATTCAAATGTACATATGTCACAAGTCATAGACAACAGTTTTAAGTCGCGGGATCATATTTCATATGTAATGGATTATTGTCAACTGGTGACCAACCCAATAGAATTGGTCTAGACCATTAGATCAGTATCACAGGTAAATGTATAATCGCCGATCAGAGATTCGACAACCATCATAGAATTCTGACAACTTCTCACCATCATCACCATTTGCACAATACCAAAAACCATACCCGAACACAAATAAAATAAATAAATAAATGAATCACCCAAAATTTTTGACATCATCACTAGGTAGTCATTGACAATGTCATCGACGTCGTTGTCGAAGCTGTTGCTAGAGCTGTCGCGCGAAGAAAAGAAGGGGGGAGAGAGGATTATCTCTGAAAATTCAAATATGGTAATGGATGGGATTGGGTTAAGGTATATTAATTGGATTTAATATAATATAATAAATAATATTAATCATCCAAATTTTGAAGGATTGAACCTTATTTCTTAGAGTGAAAATGGTGGTTTGTTAAGATCTTATATATAGCCCCCATTAAATTACATTCTATTTTTGACTTTTCTATTTTCAATCATACAATTTTTCATAAAATAATATTACACGTAAACAGAAAAATTTTCTTTAATTTTCAACCACTCATTTTTTTAAAAAAAAAAAAATACTATTCAACCCTTAATTGAACAAAAAGCTAATAAACCCAAAAATGTTGGCCTACAACAATTGTATCTCTCTCTCTCTCTTTATTATTATTTTTTTCTCTAGAGAAAAATTGTATTTCGACAGTGTGATGGAGATTGGATGCGAGAAAGAGACTACTGTTTTTTCAAGGAAAAAAAATCTTTTATTATTATTATTCATTTTGAGAATAAAAAGTCATATTCTTATCTTTATGAATCCGACAATACTGTGTTATTTTTTTAAATTGTACTGGCCTCTTTACTTTGTTCGATTGATATATGGGAATTCCTTTCAATTGAGTTAATTACAAAATACATGTTTCGACAAACATTCCAATAAATTCAGATTTGATGATACTCCTTAGTTTTTATCGTTTAGAGGGTGGGATAGTTGACATTGGAGTGTAAAGTTGTGAACTCGCGAGTGGAGAGCATGGGATTTGGAGAATGACCTGATCCAACAACTAAACACGGGTTTGAGCTGGCTTTCTATCTACAATGATGTACCTTTAATAGAGCAAACTAAAGTGTTACTAAAAGTATGATAAATATTCTTATTTATTTTATGAGCTCATATTTTCATTGTATTTAAAGAAGAGTAATTTTAAGTTCCCTTTTCTCTTTATTTTTAATAAAATTTAAATAAATGCTTAAAATCATAATGAAAGAACAAAAATTGTATACTTATTAATGAATCCATTGGTAACTTTATGTTGTGGTAATAGTAAAATCCAGATGTAGTTTATAACCTACATTCTTTTTTTTTTAGTCATTTTTTGCAAAATATATTTTTCTACATCAACACATGTTCTTATTGCTTCAATTTCAAATAAAATAATGTTATGTATAAATATCACATATATTGCTCAAGTTATACGTTTCGTCCTTCTAACCAAAAGAGGTTTAAATATTTACTACTTTAATTTTTTATTCAAAATTAGAAATTTTTGTCTTTATTTTTATTATTATTTATTTTAGTGGAAGAACATTTTATCTACAATTGTATAAAGTTGACATTATAACATTTAAGCCCCATCTAGCCTCATTTTCTGAAAATGAAAATGAGTGAAGTATTGTTTTTTTGAAAAATGAGTTATTAAAAGAGAAATTTTTTTTTTAATTTATGTGTAATATTATTTTATTTAAGATTGTGTGATTAAAAATAAAAAAGAAAAAAATGAAATATAATGTAATTGAATTTAATAGAGGGTCAAACGGGGCTCAAAATGTAAAGGAAATCGATAACAACTAACTACAAATAATAATGATTAATGAATACTATCAGACGTTAGTGTCATTTCTCCAGAAATATGCACAAATTTCTAGACAAGTAAATTGTTAATTAAAAAGACAAACTACATCGTATAACTCAAAACTAATGATAATTGGACCAGCGACGAGGTGACACGTGAGACTGTTTCTTTGGTTAGACGTATTTTAGCAACAATTAAAAGTTTGTTTTTTCAATTTCTATTTTGTATGTCAAACTTTGCGTTTTGGATTAATGAAAGGTGGGTTATGATATTATAATGGGACTAGTTTGGAGAGTTATTGTTTTCGAATAAAATATTTACGATCAGTGTTTGAGAAAAGTAACATTTAAACATAGGTGATAGTTAAGATGTGTTGAAATAAAATTTTCAAAAATAAAGTAAGATATGTTCAAATATATTATTATTATTATTATTATTTTTATATCCAGGCATCCACCTTACAGTGACTAAATTCTGGAGTCTACACCTTGGCCCCGCAAACTGCAGACAAGTTAAACCGCAGGTTGTGCCCCAAACTGATCAGTGCTCAAAAGCCCCCCCAACTGATCCGCCAAAGTGTCAAGCAAGTCGTTTCTCATCTTTGCACTTTACCTTCCAGTAGAACTCCTGCCTTCCAGGAGAATATCTGTCTTCCAAGAACCTTTCAGGAATCGAACTCACGACTTCTAATTTGGCAGCCTTGAAGCGCCCTCATTTTTGCCAGTTGGGATGTGCCCTGGGGGGCACAAATATATTATCTTTCATCCTAGTTCTGATGGACTCGCGCCAAATTGAACTTCTTTCTTTTGGGTAAAGACCAACACAATTTTGCACTTCTAGTTTAAAGTTAGCCCTTGTTTGAGCTTCATTCTTTTCATAAAAATATATTTTTAAATAGTGTATTAATGAAAAATGTGTGGTTGAAAAATATAAAAAATTTTAAATTTGCGTGTAATATTATTGTATTGAAAATTATGTGGGTGAAATAATATCAAAATATTATTTAAATATGTATTTTTTTCAAAGGATGAGACTCAAACAAGGAATTAGTTAAATAATCT